TGATGGGATGATAATGATTCACATCCGTTGTCTTTACTTGAAATCTAATTGAAATAAGAATCCTTATTTTACCCACTCAAACACAACAACCAAAAGGGCTGTTAACAGATTTTGTGAAATTAATGTGTTTCTGAAATTGGATTTAATTCAATTTCAAAATCTAAAAGAATTAACAAAATCCATATAGAAAAAACGAACTCAAAATGTTTAAACAAATAAAGAAAATTTGTAAAAAAAAAAAAATTGCATTGCTCTTTCTAATTTCTACAGAAAGAACACAACGTCGGACTATTAGTATTTGGGTTAATGTAACCTGGAAAGGATATATTGTTTTTTGTACTTTAATTAATACGAACTGGGTTTCATTTTTCATTATGCCTGGGTTTCATATTTTGAGGATTTTCTTTGTAAATATGGAGATAATGTGAACATATTTGCTTTAGAAATAATTTGTGCACTGTAAAATGTTGGCATCAAATTCAATTTTTTTTCTGTGTAAAATTTCATCAACTTCATACTGAACTTTTACATTGGAAACAATATTTTTAAAGCCATCATGAAATTTTTAAAACAAATAAAAAAAAAGATAATTATTCGCAATCTGATGTGTTTTGATAGTGGTAAATTTTCTAGACACTGCTGATTTTTTCAGATTGTAATCATCTGTTTCTTTTCAATTTCTGTTTTCATTAAATAGGAAAATTTAAGAAAATTTATTTCGTCATTTATTTTATTATCCAATTGCATTTTATATGAGACGTCATCAATCGAATCGTGGGCTGTATTAATACGAGACAGGACGAAATTGAGGTGTTAAAATATTGCGTTAATCTGCATGAAAGCCAGTCAGAGGAGTGAAAGAAATATTGTATTAGCCTGAGAGAAGGCCAAAAAGAACGGTTGAAGGACTGTATTAACTCGAGGGAAGGCAAAAATAGGTGGTACCATACTGTATTAGCCCGGAAGGAAGCCCAAGAGAACTGTTGAAATATTGTATCAATCCGGGAGAAGGCCAAAGAGAAGTGATGAAATACCGTCTTAATCCATGTGGAAGCCAAACAGAGCTGTGGGATACTGTATTAACCTGAGAGAAGGCCAAAGAGTGGTTGCGAAATGCTGTATTAACCCACGAGAATACCAAATAGAGATACTGAAATATAGGATTTACCCGGGAGAAAGCCAAGAAGAAGTGAGAAAATACCGTTTTAACCCTAGAGAAGGCCAAAGAGTGCCCGTTGAAATACTGTATTAGCGAGGGAGAGGTCCATATTGGGCTAATGAAATACTGTATTAACCCGTTAGAAGGCTAAAGAGAAGTGCGGAAATATGGTATTAATCCAAGTGAAGGCCAAACAGAGCTATGGGGATAATGTATTAACCCGAGAGAAGGCCAAAAAGAGCTGGAATAATGCTTTCTTAGTTCGGAAGAAGGCCAAATAGAACAAGTGAAATGTTTTATTAACCTGATGAAGGCCAAATAAAGATGTTGAAATATGGTATTAGCCCAGGAGAAGGGCAAATAGTGGTGTTAAAATACCGTATTAACCAGAGGAAGGCCAAAGATAGGTGTTGAAATAATTTTTGGTTTCGTTTATTTTGTTTAACGGCATGTCGACCTCAATGGGTTATTTAAAGTCGACAACATTTTTACGATAGGTTCATATGAATAGAGTATGTATTCTTTGGTTTAGATTGGTTTGGTTTATTTTGTTTTACGGCATATCAACTTCAATGGGTTATTTAATGCTGACAAAAATTTTTATTGCTGGTAATATTTTGTTCTGACAAAAATCTGTTTCTGGTAATATATTTCCTTCAAAATTGTATTGCTGGTAATAATTTTTTCAAAAAAGTATTGCTGCTAATAGTTAATTATTTCCCATAGCTGGGACCCTAACAGGTGCTACCACACCGGGTCAGGGTGGACATGGGAACACCAGCAATTAAGAAGTGGTTCCACGCTCTTCAAAATCTTCTGATCAGAGGCCTTGCTGCTGGACGTAGTTTATCGTCATACCCAGGACGCGGATGTAGTTTAACGTCTTACCCAAGACGCTTGAAATACGGTATTAACCCGGGAGAATGCCAAAGTTTAGTGTGGAAATATTGTACTAATGCAAGCGAAGGTCAAATAGGGGTGTTTAAATACTGTATTAAGCCGAGAGAAGATCAAGCACTGATATCCGAACGCGCGGGGAAAATTATGCTTTTCCAAACCTAAGCTAAGTATTAAGAAATATGAATATTTCATTAGAAACAATGAAAAATGTGCTGAATTGCTATACGATATCAATCTTACTATACGACAGTTAATGTTGGACAATTTCCTTACAGATGAAGACGAGACTTGAGGCGACACAGATGTGGTTCTATGAAAGGTGGCCTCGAATACCATGGGTAAGGTATGTTAATAACGAGGAAGCTTTAAAGAAATGGGTAAATATAAAGACGATTATAGCTAGAATCACAAGTAGTGGGTGTCGTGAAAAGATAAACATAGCTAAAACTTACAATGAATATGAAGCTGAGGAGAGCCACGATCACCATAATCCTGACGGGGGCATACCAATTAAAAGAATAATAATAATTTAGATTTCTTTCAGAATTCATCATCAGTGTGTCAAACTGGATTGTTCATGGGATTGTAATCTATGGAAACTAAACTATCAGGATACAAGAAATAATATTTTTGGAGGGGTTTCCGTTTAGAAAATGCACCGTATACAGGGTAGGATTATCATCTCTCAGTTACTTCTCTGTCTTCGGGCAAAGTGCGACTCAGTTTTGGATCTTTCTGCGGACAGAAACATAGCCCAGAAAAAAAATACTGTGAGATGCCCAGTGTTGACCATGTTTGCCGTAGTTTCTGAATATGGAATCCAGTGAAGTCCGTAATGTCTTCAATATCAGAGGTTGGCAGTGTAGATTCTGAGAAAGTAGCGACTGTTAAGTAATTCTTTAAGTCTTCGATATCAGGTTGTCAGTGAAGATATTTTTGGGAGAAAAAACAAAATGGCTGCCTTTATACACGTCGGATTGAATATTTTGAACTTTCTGATTGGTTAACCCTTCTCTTGGTGGACTATAAAATGAGTCAGCTCATTTTGGCTAGCTCACAGGTACATAATACCCAAAAATTCTAACACACAGTCCCGGTTGCATCTCCTTCATTGCGCATTGAGGTGAGGGGACCGATGCCACCATAACCGACGGTTGCTGGAGCTGGGGAATTTTAGATCTTGGCTGCAGTGTACGTGCTCAGGTTGCCCACATAAAGTCGTCTTTGTGTCACATCTCGTCTCAGTGTGAGGCTGGGGTAGATATACATTATAAAGGGGTTAAGAATGTATTGTTTGCAGTTAAAGCTTCTGGGAGTTTTAAAATCAACCTCAACTGCATGTCGAAATTATTTCATAAATTATTCTCGTCGCCCGAGTCTTTAGGAGTCTGAGTAAAAACGTTTTGACGAGCAAAAATTTCTTTAATGAAAACCATATTAAAGCGTTCTTCAAAATCAAAACCTACTGAAGTTTACACAAAATGTGCCACAAGTCATTGTCTATGAAGGTTAATATATAACTAAATAAAATGGGATTATACTTTACTTTTAGTTAAGAAGTTTGGTGAACAAAATCGGAAATTAATTATGACTCAACTCAATACGTATCTGTAACAGCAGGTTCTATGTACAACGTATTTCATGTAATCAATATTAATATACAAACCTCACAATTTTATATTTATTTATTATATATTATAATTATTAGCATTCAGTTCTCAGGGTTTTAGAATTATTAATATATAATATATTAATATTAATATATAAACCTCATGTAAGTATGTGTACATGTTTCTTTATGAATATATTTAATAAAATATGCTTATACATATCCGTGTTACATTAACTTATATTTAAGGTTACAGAAAATTTAGTGAAAAACTTGTAAGCCTGTGTATTTGAAGAATACAGCTATGGAATCATTATAAGAATCGGAGGCATACTCAGGTACTATTTTGACTATTTACCATTATTTTTAAGAGCGGCGTATTGAATGAACGAATATGCGACAATATAAAACAAAATCGAATCGTGAAAAACGTAATACATGCAGTTGATTTATATATTTTTGTCCATAAAATCTGGTCGTAAATTTGTGCTCAAATTCTTGTTCCATCTTGAGTGAATCGCACAATGAAATTACGATTTTTGCAAGTCTTGGCTGAATTATTTCTTATAACCGTTCATAACGTGACATTATAAGTATCTTCTATATAGACGAGGTTAGTTTTATTTTCTTTCTTTTTTTCTTCCTGTCCTGGGGAAAAAGGGTTCTTTATTACGTTTCTTGATGGAGAGTCCCGGAGACTCGAGGGAAGTATCTGGCAATGTTGATTTATGCTGAAAAGCGAAATTTGGGCTAGAAACATGAAGAGCTTCTTAAGCTTTTTTGATCATAAACCAAACGCGAACTATACAGTCGCTAAGAAATGCCAGTCACAGTAAAAAAATATGATGTCGCAAAGATATTAACTGAAAAAAAAAATGTCAAAAAAAAGAACAAAAAAAAAAAACAAAACAAAGCGATTTCATTTCTATGAAGCAAAACATTTCTTTTTGTAATTTTACTACGATTTATTTTTATCATAATCCGATGTAGAAATCCTATATTTTGAACACCGTAAGTATTTTTTTCAGCCAAAAGCCGAACATTTTAAGCATGTTTAGTGACGTGTTTTTCTTTTCTTCTTAAGACTACCAAGACACAAACTGTAAGTGAATCGGCATTCTAAGACAAGAAAATTTCCAAAACAAAAGACACATACCGAGAAATATTTGTGTGTACGTGTATCGATCAGAAGGAAGTAAATAAAACTGTAACCGCAAAGAAGAATCGATCGTATGAATATTGGAATTTAGTTGGGAAGGTACCTCAGTAACACCAGTGGCTAAGTAAAAGAGAATTTATCCCACACAACATATAATTATTATTCAACATAAGTTCTCTTTCTCTGCAAATCCACTCTCTGGGGAATATTATTCACGGGGATCAGAAATTATACAAGATTATCTATCTGAAACTGTTCATTATCTATCTATCTATTTAAGTCTTTTCATATCTATCTATTTAAGTCTTTTCATATCTATCTATCTCTATCTATCTATCTATCTATCTATCTATCTCTTTTCATATCTATCTATCTATCTATCTATCTATCTATTTAAGTCTTTTCATATCTATCTATCTATCTATCTATCTATCTATCTATCTATCTATCTCTTTTCATATCTATCTATCTATCTATCTATCTATCTATTTAAGTCTTTTCATATCTATCTATTTAAGTCTTTTCATATCTATCTATCTATCTATCTATCTATCTATCTATCTATATATCTAAATCTTTTCATATATCCCTCACTATCTATAACGTTTTTCTGAATTTGTGAAAAAATATCGGCTTGAGGCATCCATATTCCAACCATCATTCTATTAAAAATTCAAAAATTTTACTCTCACCCTTAAATCGAGCATTCTAGGGCAAAATGTTTTATTACTGAAAATATGAAAATTATTAAATAAAATTCAGACATCTCTTTTATTCCAAAACTAACGTCTATTTGAAATTCAGGTTTATCTCTGACTATTCATTTTCTGTCTGTAATCTATCTATCTATCTATCTATCTATCTATCTATCTATCTATCTATCTATCTATCTATCTACCTATCTATCTATACTTTCTTTCTTCTTTTTATACTAATTGTTTATCCAATACATGGCCCAAAAGCCACAAATGTTAGGGCGCTACCGAAGAACATAGTTGTATGAACGCAAAAAAAAAAAAACAGATAAAAAGTGCTGATCATGAGGATATAGTTAGAATGATTACTGTTGACCGAATACTTGGTGAACTTAAGATTGTAGCGATCGGGGAACTATCCTCTGGAGAGTCTTTTACACAAAACTGACTGAATGAAACGGCCTTCATACTAATGGAATACATAGGGAATTGTGACGATTCGTCTTAGAGTACATGGCTGGTCTTAGCACTGAAGATCAAAACTAATGAATGCAGATCGTCAGAACATTAGAAGAGACTACAAAGAGTACTGAAAATCTCGCGACGTTTTGTTCGTGGGAAATATGTTGGATAGTCGGAAATAATTCGTCATCCACAAGGCTACGGAGAAGTTTTTGAACTATATTGGCGGTATGCTTAATAACATCTATCTATCTATCTATCTATCTATCTATCTATCTATCTATCTATCTATCTATCTATCGCAATCTATTTCTCTTCTATCTCTCTTTCATAGCTATTTTTATCTATCTATCTATCTATCTATCTATCTATCTATCTATCTATCTATCTATCTATCTATCACAGTCTATTTCTCTTCTATTTCGCTTTCATAGCTATTTTTCTATCTATCTATCTATCTATCTATCTATCTATCTATCTATCTATCTATCTAGCTAGCTAGCTAGCTAGCTAGCTAGCTAGTTATCTAGCTAGCTATCGCAATCTATTTCTCTTCTATCTCTGTTTCATAGCTATTTTTATATATCTCAGTCACCTATCTATCTATCTATCTATCTATCTATCTATCTATCTATCTATCTATCTATCTATCTCAATCTGTTTATTTCTCTTCTATCTCTCTTTCATAGGTATTCTTATATATCTCAGTCATTTTTCTATCTATCTATCACAATCTGCTTATTTCTCTTCTATCACTCTTTCATAGCCATTCTTATCTATCTATCTATCTATCTATCTATCTATCTATCGCAATGTGTTTATTTCTCTTCTATCTCTCTTTCATAGCTATTCTTATATATCACAGTCATCTATCTATCTATCTATCTATCTATCTATCTATCTATCTATGTGTTTATGCATGCGCTCGAATTTTCTCGGAAATTTTACGTCATTATATGATAGTAATATGTAAATTAGCCTATCATGTGATTCATTATACTCCCAGGTTTTTTAAACACGAGTAACCGTTTATCTTTGTTTTCTGTTTAGAATGGGGCTTCTGGTTCTTGTTAAATTCTATTTCAAATTTATACTCCAAACGCCCCTGCCTAAAATCCGGAATATTACTATTACTATTTATTTTTCTTTTCTTAATAGGATTAGATATATAACTCTATCGTCCGGTTTACACGTCTCCCTGCTTCTTTTGAACAGAGGTAGAGGTTTATAAATTGTTTCTTATTTCGCATTGGGTTTACAGTCTCTCATCAAATATTTTTCTTCTTTATCACTTCCAGTATATCATTGCGTCTTAGTGGGTTTATCGTTCTGTTTGGGGAGATCTGATACCCCCACCCAAATTATTCATTACTTGAAAGAAAAAGTCAAACTTTGTTGAAACATGACTTAAGGAAGAAAAGTTCTATCGAAATCCATTCTTTTTTAATGAAATTCGAAAAAATCCCAATGAAATGTGCTGTTCTATCTATGTTTAATATTTTCGTTTGACAATAAAGAAATAAGTGAAAAGGTCTCGACTAAAACAGTGTCATGGTATGTGACGTTATTCCGGTCGAAAATTGCGTGATAAAGAATCAGTGTCATGCTAAGTGGCGTTATTTCAGTTCGAAAATTGCGTGATAAAGAATCAGTGTCAAGTTATGTATTGTTATTCCGTTCGAAAATTACGTGATAAAGATTCAATGTCATGGTATGTGACGTTATTCTATTCGAAAATTGCGTGATAAAGAATCAGTGTCATGTCATGTGGCGTTATTCCGATCGAAAAGTGCGTGATAAAGATACAGTGTCATGGTATGTGGGGTTATTCCGTTCGAAAATAACGTGACAACTATTCGTTATTCCGTTTAAAAATTGTAATAAGGATTCAGTGTCATGGTTATTCTGTTTGAAAATTGCGTGATAAAGATTCGGTGTCATGGTATGTGGCGTTATTCCGTTCGAAAATTGCGTGATAAAGATTCAGTGTCATGGTATGTGGCATTATTCCGTTCGAAAATTGGGTGATAAAGAATCAGTCATGGTATGTGGCGTTATTCCGTTCGGACTTGCGTGATAAAAAATCAGTGTCATGGTATGTGGCGTTATTCCGCTAAAATCAAAGTTCAGTGTCATGGTATGTGGCGTTATTCCGTTCGAAAATTGGGTGATAAAAAGAATCAGTGGTATGTGGCGTTATTCCGTTCGGACTTGCGTTATTTCGTTATGAAAATTCCGTTCGGAAATTGCGTGATAAAGAAGTAGTGTCATGTCACGTGGCGTTATTTCGTTTGAAAATTGCGTGATAAATAATCAGTGTCATGGTATGTTGCGTTATTCCGTTCCAAAATTTGGTGATATCGAATCAGTGTCATGGTATGTGGGGTTATTCCGTTTGAAAATCGCGTGATAAAGATTCAGTGTCATGTCATGTGGCGTTATTCCGATAGAAAATTGCGTGATAAAGATACAGTGTCATGGTATGTGGCGTTATTCCGCTCGAAAATAACGTGACAACTATTCAATATCATTGTATGTGCCGATATTCCGTTCGAAAATTGCGTGATAAAGATTCAGTGTTATGGTATGTGGCGTTATTCCGTTCGAAAAATGGGTGATAAAGGAACAGAATCATGGTAAGTGGCGTTATTCCGTTCGAAAATTGTGTGATAATGAATGAGTGTTATATTATGTGCCGTTATTCCGGTCGAAAATTGCGTGATAAAGAATCAGTGTCATGCTAAGTGGCGTTATTTCAGTTCGAAAATTGCGTGATAAAGAATCAGTGTCAAGTTATGTATCGTTATTCCGTTCGAAAATTACGTGATAAAGATTCAATGTCATGGTATGTGACGTTATTCTATTCGAAAATTGCGTGATAAAGAAACAGAATCATGGTAAGTGGCGTTATTCCGTTCAAAATTTTGCGTGATAAAGAAAGAGTGTTATGTTATGTGCCGTTATTCCGCTCGAAAATTGCGTGATAATGATTCAGTGTCATGTCATGTGGCGTTATTCCGATAGAAAATTGCGTGATAAAGATACAGTGTCATGGTATGTGGTGTTATTCCGTTCGAAAATAACGTGACAACTATTCAATATCATTGTATGTGCCGTTATTCCGTTCGAAAATTGCGTGATAAAGAATCGGTGTCATGGTATGTGGCATTATTCCGTTCGAAAATTGGGTGATAAAGAATCGGTGTCATGGTATGTGTCGTTATTCCGTTTGAAAATTCCGTGATAAAGATTCAGTGTCATGTTATGTGGCGTTATTCCGTTCGAAAATTGGGTGATAAAGAAACAGAATCATGGTAAGTGGTGTTATTCCGTTCGAACTTGCGTGATAAAGAAATGTACTCTAGATAAAATGCCAAGCATTAATATTAATCGCGTAGAACAGGACTGGAAGCGATTAGTCTAAATTGGAAAGAAATTAATTGAAAGATATTAACGGGATACTTTTATTCTTTCGTCTGCTTCAGACAGAAAATTATGTGTTGAAGTTTTCCCCTCTTCATTTCATTACTTTGTTCATTCATTCACTATACAAATTATTCTGACTTGTTTTCCTGGGTATGATGATAAACTACATTCTCCGACAAGGCCTCTCATCGAGTGATTGGAGTTTTTCAGGGGCGTCGTACATCTTCCTAATTGCTTTTGTTCCCAGGTCCAACCACACCTGGGGTGGGAGCACCTGTTATTGGTTACAGCTATGGGCAAATATTGACCCCACCAAACAAAAAGAAAACAATTATAAAAGTACAAATATAAAATTTATATAACAGAATTTATAACAAAATGAGCGGCAATACATTTTATCGTAGACTTTCAACTTTCGTTGAAGGCATGCAATTGCACTCAAAATATTTATATTTCTGCATTAAATAACACATAGAGATGTTGATATGCCGCTAAACAAAATTAACGATCCAACCTGACGTTTATACATGAACGTTGATTTCTCATGTTATACGGTGGTTATTTTAAGAAGTATGTGGGTACAAATGAAAATTTTAAAATTGTCAACTTTTTCCATTTTAGTGAAAAATGTAAAACACTTCTATCTTCCCGACTTTCTTTCATTCTTTGATTGATTGATTCATTTTCTTACTGAAACCAATTAGTGTTTCGGATAAGTTTTTTCAGTCTTTCCCCGAGATCAAAATTCAGTAGTTAATTATTTAGGAGATATTGGCAAGTGACATTAAACACTTCTATCTTCCTTTCTTCCTCCCTTTCTTTCTTTCTTTCTTTCTTTCTTTCTTTTTCTTATGATTGTTATTGCAATATTGATAAATTTGTTAAGCCCAAATATTTAAGGATGCGATAGGTTCATTTCTACGTATATTGTCGTAAAACTCGTCATGGGTTATTCGTTAAGAATTAAGTTTCATCAGAAAATTGAAATAAAAAAAAATTCACGGGTAATTCTACTTTTTTTAAATAATGCTAACCATAAATTGCAATAAGATAGAAGTATGATCTTTAACAAGATGGGGATGAGGTGGAGGCTTTCAGGATGTGGACTTGAACTGAAGATGTCAAAATCAATCAAGTAGAGGAATTTAAGTAAGTGTTATAACAGACTATGGACAATCTAACACCGAAATTCGAAGGTATATTGGAATAACGAAATATGCTTTCCAGAAGCTAAAAGAAGTATTAAGACACGGGAAAAATTTGGTTGAACAAAAATAAGTGTGCTGAATGTTTATGTAAGATTACCGATACTATATACCCGGAATGCTTTTTAATTTCCTCACAGATGAAAAGATGACAATTGTTATGTAGTCTTACAGAAAAATGCTGGGAATACAATGGACGTGACTGTTTACATCCTTCCTTTTACAATATCAGTCAGTTATGTGCCATGCATGATACACGCTTAGGCGATCATGTATCTTCCCATACATGACTGACGTGGTAGTTTTTTTCCCGCAGTAGGTTGCCATTTCTTTTTGTGGTGTTTACAATATACTATCTTATATTTTATATTGTATTTAGATTGATTTTCGCTCTCACTTTTGATAGAGCCATTTTTGGTGAACACAAATTTTCTTGTTCCCTCCCACCTTTCAATATTACTTAGTAACACTGTATTACACACCTCCTTTTCCTTCACGATCAGCTCTTGCAACAATGCAAGAATCTAATAATAAATATTCCTTAAAGAATATACCAATATCTAGCAAACGCAATTATAAGCTCGCCCTGTTGAACAAAATTGATTCCTTCCTATGCAGAATTAGGTGGGAATCACTTTTTACTTTAAACAAATATATCAGGATACACGAAGCTGACGACGTATACCACCTGGGAACTACAAAATTTCCGCCTGACATAGAGGAGTTGTCCAGATTTGAGAAAGACCTATTAGGCATTATGGTTATAAAAAAAAAACAAAAAAAACTAGCTTCCAAAAAAAAAAAAAAAATTGGCAAATGTGAAAGATATGAAAGAAACAAAGTACTAATAATGGGTGACAAGACAAAAATATATACTTAATGAGCCCAGACAAATATAAGAGGAAGATTGCCAATGAGGTAACGAAACTTTATAAGAAAGCGCCAAGCTCATAAGTTGATTGCAATAACTATGAAGCCAGAAATATCTTAAATAAATTGTGTATTAGTAACAAAGTTCATACATTATACCAAAAGGAAGCATTCCTCACGGTAAAAGACCACAAAGATGATTTTCACAGCTATTCTTCCATCCCTCTCATAAACCCGTCTAAGACGGAGCTAGGCGACATCAGCCGAGTGATCATCCAGATATCTGTGATTCGCTAAAAAAATTAAAGACAAAGCAAAATTAGTCTTTATCAAATACGATATATGCGGCTTCTATCCATCTGTTACCGGGAAAAGGATTAGCCGATGCACTGGAGTATGCTAAACTATTTGTGGAAGTAAAACCTCAACATTTAGAAGTCATCTTCCACTGTAGGAAAT